TGGAAGGGGTAATGAGCCGTAGTTGGCTCCCATCACTGCCGGCACAGTGTGGCCAAGAGGTAGGTAGCAGCCCAGGTGTGGGCAATGTGACCGGCCCTGCGTTAGGGAAGAGAATTGCAGGAACAGCAGCGGTTGCACACATCTATGGGTAACCAAGGAGCATGTGGACAATGGCCCCAGGGACAGGAGGGTCAATCTGGAGAAATGGCTTGAAGTAAATGGTGATATATCTGACGTTTCAGTGAGTGAAAAGAAGGGGAAAGCCTGTAGCACCTGGTGACCTCCAAGATGGAGGGAGGAAGCAGAGGGAAACCAGTGTGTTTGCTTGGCCAGGGAAGGTGGATGATGAGAGCATCCCTTGTGGACAGACAGAATCATATAATGGTTTGGGTTGGAAGGGACCCATAAGACCACACAGTTCCAACCCCCCTGCCATGGGCAGGGACACCTCCCACCAGACCAGGCTGTTCCAAGCCCCGTCCAACCTGGCCTTGAACACCTCCAGGGATGGGGCAGCCACAGCTTCTCGGGGCAACCTGCGCCAGGGGCTCACCACCCTCACAGTGAAAAACTCCTTCCTAATATTTAATCTAAATCCACCTTCTTCCAGTTTGAACCCATTCCCCCTTGTCCTATCACTCCATGCCCTTGTAAAAAGTCCCTCCCCAGCTTTCCTGGAGCCCCTTTAGGCACTGGAAGGGGCTCTAAGGTCTCCCTGGTGCATTCTCTCCCCCAGGCTGAACAGCCCCACCTCTCCCAGCCTGTCCTCATAGCAGAGGTGCTCCAGCCCTCAGAGCATCTTTGTGGCCTCCTCTGGACCCACTCCAACAGGTCCATGTCTTTCCTATGTTGGGGGCTGCAGAGCTGGATGCAGGATTCTGGGTGGGGTCTCACCAGAGTGGAGACATGTCTGGGTGGACCATGGGGTGTCTTACCAGGACACCCAAAGCTGTGCCAAATTAGCCAGGGCTTCCTGTGGTCCTACAGCAAGGAGAGGTCTTGGTAAGGGTTTTGGGTAGCAGATGGGGCGCTGGCTTAGCACGCCGTGGTGTGCTTGCTAAGGGGCAGGGGAACCCTCCACCCACCGCGCTGGGCTGGTTGCCCTCCTCTGCCTGCTGTGGGTCCCTGCCCACTCATCCCACCCGCCACAAGGGACCCCACGGCTGCCTCTGCCCCCCAACCAGCACCGCACCGCCCCGACCCCACAAAAAGTCCAGGCCCAGGCGGTTGTGTACAAAACCTGAAATAGTTTACTTTGCTTTCTTTTTTTTTTCTTTTTTTTTCTTTTTTTAAACTTTGCTCTAGGTTTACTTAGATTTCGTGAACTCGATACAAGAGCATTTGATATGAATCGGTAAATAAAACACCGTCATAGATAGATAGCCACGATAAACTTTGTTAGAAATGTACATGTCGCGAAAAAATAATAATACTAATAATAATAATCATAATAAAAAAAGCCGGCGCGACGCCCAGGCCGGCGCGGCCCTCCCGGCCCTCGCCCACGGCCGCAGGTGGCTCTGGTTCCCCGCAGGCGCCGCACCCCGGTAATGTGTGTATATAAACAAAGCCCATAAGAAATGTACAAATATAAAAAGCTACAAACATTAATAAATTACATCGTCACAAAACACGGAAACACTCCACAAGGTGCTAGTAAAATAACTTGTCTCCCTCCTCGTACAAGAAGTTACGCAAAGAGCTGGTACCGGCGGGCGGCGCCCCGGAGAGACTTTCCCCTTATAAAAAACCGGTGGTGGTTATTCCAAAAGCTATGTACAAGCTACATTCTAGGAAAAGGATGCCTCGGGAAACACAGCTGCACAGGGCGACAGGGGGTTGCCTGAGAAACGCGCCCAACGCTTCACAGCCCAACGGCCACTACCGCCGTCCATCACCTCACGGCCCATCGCCTCAGCCCAATGGCCGCTACTGCCCATTGCCTCACAGCCCCACAG